CGTAAACCAATAAGGCAGTGAAAGATGCACTAGACCCCTTTGTGAACAAGGAGTAATCTGATCTGGACTGTTGAAAGCCATGTAATAAAAGTGCTTGAGAAAACTTGGAAAACCACCGCCTAGAAGCTTGTTTTAAACCATAAATTGACTTGTGCAACTTGCACACTAGTTTCTCCCCCTGACAACCAGCATTATGATGTTTAGGATGACCTAAAGGTATATCCATGTAAATTTCCTCAAACAGATCACCATTAAGGAAGGCATTATTGACATCCAATTGAACAAGATGCCATTTCTTAACTGCAGCAACAGCAAGAAGAGATTTTACAGTAACCAACTTTGCAACTGGGGAAAAGGTTTCATTGAAGTCCAAACCTTCTTGTTGAGTATAGCCTTTTGCTACTAATTGAGCTTTGTAGCGGTCTATGCTGCCATCTGATTTGAACTTAACTTTATACACCCACCGGCATCCTATGGAATGCTTATCTTTAGGTAAATATGTGATTGACCAAGTATGGTTTGCTTCCATAGCTTTCAATTCATCTGGCATAGCCTTCTTCCAATGGTCATATTTCACTGCTTGATGGTAAAATTGGGGTTCAAATGTGGAGGGTATATTGAAGAGGAGAGTTATGTGATGAGGAAAAGGCTTTGTAAGATAAGATTTGCATAGGGGATGTAAGGAATTGTTTTGAGGATGAGGGCTGTTGGTCAGAAGATTGCAATGGAAATCAAGAAGGTAAGAGGGAGCCTTGCGTATTCTGTTGCCTCTTTTAGGAATAGGTGAGGAAGATTGATCTGAATCATGAATAATACTCGAGTCAGTGGTATGAGGAATATCATCACAATTGTGTGTAGAGGTAGGACTTGAATGAGAATGATCTAAAGGCAAGTCTTGGAGAGGATTTGGTAGTACTAAATCAGGAAAGGGGTCAATGATATCAGAAGACGTTGAAATTGATTGAAATGGAAAGACGTGTTCATGGAAAACAACATCTCTGGAAATGAAAAATGATTTAGAGACTGTCATATATTTTGTACCCTTTAACCCGGGAGGATAACCAACAAACACACATGCCTTGGCTCTTGGATGAAATTTTGTTCTATGGGAAAGTAGAGTGGAAGCAAAGCAAAGGCTTCCAAAGGTTTTGAGATGAGAGTAATCTACTGGAGTGTTGTACAAACGAACAAAAGGTGTTTGATTTTGTAAGATTGGTGATGGAGTCCTATTTATGAGGAAAGTAGCTGTAAGAATACATTCTCCCCAGTATTGAATGGGGACTTTGGATTGGAAAAATAGTGCACGAGCCACATTGAGGAGATGTTGGTGTTTCCTCTCAACCACATAATTTTGTTCCGGTCTTTCCACACATGAGTGTTGGTGAATCACTCCTTTAGCACTAAAAAAATTTGTGAATTTCAATTCTTTGGCATTATCTGATCTAAAGCACTTTATCACTTTGTTGAACTGTGTTTCTATGAGTGAAAAAAATCTGGGAATGACAGGTGGCATCAGGTTTTTGCCTCATCAAATATACCCATGTGAATCTGGTATAGTCATCAACCAATGTCAAAAAATACCTATAACTAGCATGTGTGGCCACATTGTAAGGACCCCAAACATCGCAGTGAATTAGATCAAATGCAGTTGGAGATAAATGATTGTTAGAAACAAATGAAAGCTTTCTCTGTTTCTAGCCCGATCATCCACGGTCATTAAAAAAAAATCTTCAAATACAGATGTGTTGTACTACTGCTAAATATGACCTGATTGCAGCAATTATGAACCAATTTTAAATATTTGCAATGACTACTTTTGAATCCTACTTCGCTCTGTTAATATATTGTAGACCCTTTTAGAGAACGCTACTTCCAGGAGAAGACTGGTTCATATAGTTATTCAAATGGTCTGCCTTGAGGATTTATAAGCGTGTTGGGAAAACTTCCCTTACAAACCAATTCTAAGGCCTGTTCATAAGAATATTGAAAAAAAGATGCTCACAAACTGAAGAAACGGTAAGTGTACCTGCACTATGCAGGGAATGAAGTGCTGAAAGCTTTTGGTTTGGGTATCAAAACCCTGCCAGAGCTGGATATCCTCGAACCAGGGTTCGAATCAATAGGATTATCTTGGTCACAATCAGTCCTCCTCGACGAACTATAAGACTCATCACCTCCGAATATATCACCCAGACATCGCCTTCTCGTCACAGTTTCTATTCGAAACACTGGCTTCTTATTAACTGGTTCACCCAAACTGTACCTCCCTTTCACTTCTTGCATTGAAAACCACCTCGGTGGACCACCAAAAACATCATTAAAATCTAAATCATCTGAGTCTCTGCTCTGTGCTTTTAGAGGCTGTCTGGCAACGCTTTTTGAAGAAATTAATAGCAACTTTTGTACCATTGCCACAATGAAGTGTGAGAAACAAATCAACATTATGCGGCGGTAACGGACAGAAATTTGCTAATAATCTGGGGTAAAAGCAGAAATGGACAGGGCCTTAGTGAGGTTTCTGATGACCCACGAGGGCTATATCCCAACAAAACATTTTCCCCTTCCAAAAATTTCTCTATTTATGTACAAACACAATCCAATCTTGGGCTAAAACAATTTCAAAAATAAAACTTGGAGGGAAATCCTTGAATTCATAATTTATTACAATCTACATAGTGCATTAGAATATAGAACTAAAACTTTCACGATTTTTTTTGATTGATTTGCTGAAATTGGTGTAATCGTGTAAGATAGAAACATATATGTGTTAAGACAATAGAACTCCATTGAGACTGCAACTGGAGATAAGTAAAACACAAAGCATAAAAAAGAGGCACAGGACCAAACACTTCGTATATATTTATTGAAGAAAGAAGAAACTTGAAATATACAGCTAGAAAATAGAATTTCAATAAATAAGCAAGAACCAAACTACATGAGAAAAATAAGGGAACAACAAATACTTGATTTTTAGAACTAACTTATGGACTCAAACAACTTATTGACTCAATCAAATACTTAGAAATAAGGAATTTCTGCAGTAGTGGCTAGAACCATATGAATTGACAATTCAATTGATATTTTTTTTGTGAACTGATTGATTTACTAGTGTGATAAAATTTAATATTTTTTTGCTCTTTGGGAGATAGTGTCTACAAGTTTTGTGTGTCCTAATCGTATCATATTTATGCTTGTCAATAATAATAATAATAATAATAATAATAATAATAATAATAATAATAATAATAATAATAATAATAATAATTTGAGGCTTAACTTTGGATTGTTTATTATTAACATAGTTGGGGGCAGTTATATAACATCGAATTTTAGTTGAGTTGTCTTGAATAGTTGAATTGTTTATTGTTGAATTAATGCCGTAATTAGTTGTTTTTCTTTTTCTACATATAAAATTTTTGCTCTTTAGGAGATAGTGTCTACAAGTTTTGTGTATCATAATAATAATAATAATAATAATAATAATAATAATAATAATAATAATAATAATAATAATAATTTGAGGCTTAACTTTGGATTGTTTATTATTAACATAGTTGGGGGCAGTTATATAACATCGAATTTTAGTTGAGTTGTCTTGAATAGTTGAATTGTTTATTGTTGAATTAATGCCGTAATTAGTTGTTTTTCTTTTTCTACATATAAAATATTTATATTTGAGTTATTTTAAATTTTAGCTCCTCCAACATCTATTTCTGGACCGCCCCTGCTCTAAACCCTCTACTATTTCGCCCCAGTCGAATCCCCAAGTTTTGATATATATAACCATAAGTAGAATCGCAGAACCCTATTTCTCTCTTTGAGAAATTGCATTATTCGAGTATCATGAGAACGATTTTATCGACACTTGTAGAATTACGTATTGTGATACTTAAATTTAGGCTAAACACGGTTCACGTATACGTACAACTTTCGAGGGAATATAAGTGTATCAGAGGAAGAACATTTCCGATATGAATGCTAGAAATAATTAGGGCTGTCAATGGATCGGATACGGATCAGATCTGTCCAAATTCGATCCGATCAGTTAAGAATAATTATTTGATCCGATCCGATAATCCAACGGATATTTAATTGTTAAATCCATATCCGGTTTGTTATGTTATCCGATATTATATCCGAATTTGGAAAAATTAGAAAAAGAAAAATACAATGTTATAAAAATCAAACCGCATCGGACCGACCAGTTCAACCGAAAAAATGGGAACTGACCTCAAATCTAGTCCAGTCTTCATATATTAACTGAACGATATGGACTTTTTTTTTTCAAAAAATATTTTAACTATTTTGATGGACTTACCTATTAAACTAGAAGGCCCAAATAATTTTTTATCCAAGTGACGCTTGTTTAGCTCATTTTTAAGGGAGTCCCTCTTGGAATGTTTTGGTGATCTTTCAATGTGGAATACTAGTTTTTTAAAGGATACTTCTCCAATGTTTTAGTGATCTTTCAAAGTGGGATACTAGTTAATTATCAATTCTAAGTGTTTACTAGTTTACTTTATTGTTTTCATTAAAAATCATAGTCTTAACAAGATTATAATCACATATAATCTCAATTTGAACAATGTAAATCATTTTGAACATATTAATTGTTAGTTTTTGATATTATAAAACAAATTATTATAGTTATTTTTATCTTCTTTTAATTAATAAAAAATTAAATCTTATCAAATATTTCAATTAACAATATTATACTATTATCTAATATTATTTATTATTTGAAAATTATGTGTAAATTATAATATAAATTTCAAAATGGAAAAATTATGTTTAATATATTATATTATTACAATAAATCGGATCAGGTTGTTATCGGATCGAATCTGACCTATATTCATATTTGCTCTATTTAATTAACGGATTATCGAATTCGGATCTTAATCGGATTATCGGATTGAAACTCTAAATTCATCTTCCATTAATTTCATCGGATCTGGATCAAAATTCAATCCATTGACAGCCCTAGAAATAATGGCTATGGTAGCTAAATACAATGATCTTTGAAGTAGTTCTTGGTCGTTACAAATTTTACAGTTCAAAATCGAAACCAATGGTGGATTTGAAGAAGTTTAGGCCGGTGATCCTAAAGAGGATTGAGGAACAGGACAAGGAATATCCCATCAAACGCTTGAGCCCTGTAGCCCATGAGGTCCTCCAGGCTCGAGCGATTCTCTACCACGGCGTATCTACCCTCATCTAGCGTATTCGTATATGGGCATGCCAGTAATTTCACGATTTTCCCCTCTATGTATTCATATAATATGTTCATTTGCTCATTTTAATTTATGTTTTGCCAATCTATGGAGTTATTGGTTAAATAATCAAATCTAGGTAAATTAAAGGTAAAATCTTTGCTTACTGAATTTCTTAACCACTCTCATTATGTGAAGATTTGAGGTATCTGATTTTTATGAGTTATTTTGAGTAAATTTCACTGGTATTTCTTTTTGATATTGTAGCATCATTCATGGATTATTGTGGAAAAATACTCTGCCTTTAAATACTTTATCTCCACCCAAAAAAAATACTGTCAACTTAAATTTCAAGCAATCACATCATACAAATTTTCAAGTTGGCATCTGATTTTTTAAATTGTTATTTATTTTGTTGGGGTGGGTTGAGGGATTGGGGGATTATAGATTAATATGAGGTGAGAAGGATGGTGTGCATGCTGTGCTTCTTATTATGGGAGTTATAACTGTACCACAATCTTTGAGGGCGGTAGTAGAGTGATCTCATCTTATTGGTCCTAACCTTAAACTTTATAACATGGCATTTGCCCCTATATAAACTACATGCCTTTAAATTTTAATGAGCAAGCAGACATACATATTGAGAGAGATTCCAGCATTTCTGCGAAGAGAATAATGAACGATAGAAGAATAAGATACTTGTTAGTTATTTGGAAAAGATCAGTAAGAAGATGTATAAAACAACTGTAACTGGTCTTTGAAGACTTAATGCCTTTCAAAAGAATCTTCAGTAAATTTTACCTATCTAAACCAAAGATGGGTGGAGGAAGTTACATTTGCCATTGAACCAACAAAGATGTACCAAATAACTACTATTTGTTCTTGCAATCAATCTTATATGTGTTATGAAATTCTATCTTTTTTACCTATATAAACCAAAGATGGGTGGAGGAAGTTACACTTGCCATTGAACCAACAAAGATGTCTCAAATAACTACTATTTGTTCTTGCAATCAATTTTATATGTGTCATGATATTCTGGCTGAAGCTTAATATTCTTCTATATAAAGCTTATATTATTTTAGGAGTCTCTCAGTATATTTTTCCTTGGCCCTTTAGAAGTCCCAATATCTTTTACAATTTCACAAAATAGATATTCTAATTCTTTTTAAGCCCTTGTTTGAGCCCCATTATTTCTCATTATAATGTTTTGAATAGTATTTTTTTTTTAAAAAAAATGAGTGGTTGAAAAAGAAAGAAAAGTTTTTGATTTGCGGGTAATATTATTTTATTGAAGATTGTGTAGTTAAAAATAGGAGAGAGAAAATTTTAATTTAATGTAATGAGAAATAATGGGGCTCAAACGAGGGCTGAAGCTTCAACTATTTTTTGCTTCTGTAGCAACAAAAGATTATATTAGTTTGTATATATTGGTTATTTGATACTACTCATGTAGTATAAGAAACTACTTTTAGCAATTATGACTATGAAATATCTACATATTAAGCAGTAGAGAAAAGTGAGACTTACTCAGTTATACATTTATTTATTTCTTTGGTAGATACTACCCAGAAGTTTATATTAGCAAGAATGGTCATTTGATTCGAACTTGTGGTGGTTCCCGGCATCAAGCAAAGAACCAGGTCCATAAGTGGGTTAAAGGAAGCACTAAACATATACTAGTTCCTGTAGGAACATTTCATTTGCAGAAAATGTTTCAAAATGTAATTGAACACAATAAGAGATTTGATTATGATCGCATTTCAGCAGTTGTGGAGCAATTTTAGCAAGAGGAACTTTGAACGCGTCCGACTTTGATATCATCGTCTGACAATGAATTGGCGCCAACCATACATTTTTCAACATTTGGAGTTGAATAAATACTTTGATCGCGAGGATCAGCCCTTGCTATGCCCTTGCCTGCAATCATAGCTCTAGAATTGCTCAAATGCGATCATAATCAAAATCTCTTATTTTACCCATATATGGACCTGGTTCTTTGCTTGATGCCGGGAACCACCACAAGTTCGAATCAAATGAACATTCTCACCAATATAAACTTCTGGGTAGTATCTGCCAAAAGAAAGAAATAAATGAATAATTGAGTAAATTTCACTTTTCTTGCTGCTTAATAGGTAGATATTTCAGGGCCATAATTAGTTGCTAAAAGTAGTTTCTTATACTACATAAGTAGCAAATAACCAATGTATTTTTTTTTATCGTGAGTGTTCGAACCAGTTTACGCGCACGTCGACTAATCCCACGAGGTCTTGAAGTTTATAGCTGTGTGCTCGCCTCAGTGGCCCTAAGGAGACTCGAACTGATGGTCATTGGGGAGTAAACTTAAGTCCCGATCATTGAGTTATCCCTCAGGATTAGCAAATAACCAATATATACAAAGTAATATGTTAATCTTTTGTTGCTGCAAAAGAAAAAAATAGTTGAAGCTCTAGAAAGAATTAGAATAACTATTCTGTGAAATGCTAAAGCTTATTAGGACTTCTTGAGGGCTAAGGAAAAATATACTGAGAGACTCCTAAAGTAACATAACCTTTATATAGAAGATATTAAGCTTTAACTAGAATATCGTAACACATATAAGGTTGATTGCAAGCAGGACCGGCCTTGATAATTTGGGTGCCGTATGCCAACTTAAAAAATGAGGCACCTATATTTTGAGCCTTTTTACAGATAGTTTTAATATAATTAACCCAATTATTTTATTTTAAAAAATTTCATAAATATAATTTTTGTTTTTCTTTGGTCAACTAATTAGCCTTACATAATCCGGGGCCCTCATTAAAATGAGGTTTTAGGCTATTGTTTACCTCGCCTATAGTCAGGGCCACCATTGATTGCAAGAACAAATAATAGCTACATGGTATATCTTTGTTGGTTCAATGGCAAGTGTAACTTCCTCCACCCATTTTTGGCTTAGATAGGTAAAATTTACTGAAAATTCTTTTGAAAAACATTAAGTCTTCAAAGACTAGTTACATTTGTTTTATACATCTTCTTACTGATCTATTCCTAACAACTAAAAAGTATCTTATGCTTGTATCATTCATTATTCTCTTCGCAAAAATGCTAGAATATCTCTCAATATGTATGCCTGTTTGCTCATTATAATTAAAAGGCACGTATTTTATAGTGGGGCAAATGTCATGTTATAAAGTTTAAGGTTAGGACCAATAAGATGAGATCACTCTACTACCGTCCTCAAAGATTGTGGTATAGTTATAACTCCCATAATAAGAAGCAGAGCATGCACACCATCCTCCTCACCTCATATTAATCTATAATCCCCCAATTCCTCAAAGACCAATTACAGTTGTTTTATACATCTTCTTATTGATCTCTTCCTAACAACTAACAAGTATCTTATATTTGTATCGTTCATTATTCTCTTAGCAGAAATACTAGAATCTCTCTTAATATGTATGCCTGCTTGTTCATTAAAATTCAAAGGCACGTAGTTTATATATGGCAAGTGTCATGTTATAAAGACTAAGTTTAAGGTTTTGGGACTAATAAGGTGAGATCACTATGCTACAATCTTCTAAGATTGTGATACAGTTATAACTCCCATGATAAGAAGCAGAGCAATCACACCATCCTCCTCACCTCATATTAATCTATAATCCCTCAACCCACCCTAACAAAATAAATAGCAATTTAAAAATCCAAGGCCAACTCGAAAATTTGGACGATGTGATTGCTTGAAATTTAAGTTGATAGTATTTTTTTGGGTGGGGGTAAAGTATTTAAAGGTAAGAGTATTTTTACATAATAATCCATGGATGATGCTACAATATCAAAAAGAAATACCAGTGAAAATAACTCATAAAAATCAGATACCACAAACCTTCACATAATGGGTCTATTAAGAAATTCAGTAAGCAAAGATTTTACATTTAATTTACCTAGATTCGATTATTTAACCAATAACTTCATGAATTGGCAAAACATAAATTAGAATGCGCAAATGAACATACAATATGAATACACAAGGGGGGAGGATTGTGAAATTACTGGTATGCCCATATCGGAATACGCTGGATAACGGTTGATATGTCGTGGTAGAGAATTGTTCGGGCCTAGAGGACCTCGTGATCTACAGGGCTCAAGCATTTGATGGGATATTCCTTGGCTCGTTCCTTAATCCTCTTTAAGATCACCGGCCTAAGCTTCTTCAAATCCACCATTGGTTTCGATTTTGAACTGTAAAATCTGTAACGACCAAGAATTTCTTCAAAGATCATTGTATTTGTTTCGCGCGGGTTAATTCGCTAACAATTAAAGAGGATCAGACGATTGTGTAAGGGACGAAACCTTTTGAGACAAAGTCCCAAAAAGGGGTGTTCTTTTTATTGGCGATGAACTTTACAATTGGAAACGGAAAACAACGTGCCTCCAAGGGGCGCAAGCACACGAGTTACAGAAAAGGAAATGTTTAAGTCTAAAAGCTAGAGGAATGAAAATTACATATTCTCTGTTCGAGAGTTTTGGATTCGGTCCTTTGCCTCTAAGTTCTTTCTCCCTTTTATACTTCATAGGCGATCCCTTTGTGATTAACTGCTCTAAAAAACTGCTTGATCGCCCTATAACTACCCACTTTCTTTGTAGTGGCCATTTTGTCATGCAACTGTCCTTTTAACTGCTGCCATTATCTTGCATCGTTCAACCGCTTTCGATTGAACCCCTTGAGTCGTGGAACGTGATAAAGTTACTTTAGCAACTGCCTTAATAACTGCATCATAATGCGTTATGTTTGTTGATACCTTGGGCGACTTGAAGATTTGGGCGAGATCCTCCAATTGGGCCTTACTCCTTGGGCTGTTCGATTTGGGCTGAATTTTTATGTGTCAACAATTACCCCCCAATATGGCAGAATTAATAATAATTATTGAATTTTGCCATATTCACTTCACGTCTTCAGCAACGTTCACGATTCCCAAAGAATTTCAATCATTTTTTCCTTCTATAACTTGAAAAGGTGCGTCGCTTTGCAAACCCTTATAAACTCCGAACACGTCATTTTACTGCTACGAAATCACGTTTCATATTTCTTACGCATCGTTCGCGATTCACTGTTCATATTTTTCTTCCTTGTTACGTAACTCTGAAAAGTTTCGTTCCTTCTTCAATGACTGCTTTACAATCCCAAGCTAGCGATTCCTTTAGTTTTGACGACTTTCAGAAACTTCTGAGTCGTTCATTCGTAACCCCGAGTTTTCTTGCGCCCGCCGATGTTGGATGTAATGAGTTTTACTTGGGTCCTTTCTTCAACAATGCGGAAGCAATCGAACAGGCGGCGGTGGGTCAGCTGTTTCCTTGCACTCATGGCCCTCCTTTTCTGAATTCTTTGCCGCTGGGGCCACTTCGTGAAAAAGGTATTCGCACTTGGCCCAAATCTGACGTAGCTTTTCGTAGGTGGCATGCTCGTCTTGTGGGTCATGGTCCTACTAAGGCACTTTTTGATAGCGCTAGGATTTCTGATTTGTTGGAAGTCTCTATTCGCCCCCCTACTTTTGATTCAGCACTCTTTCCGATTGCTTTGAGCTTTTGGTCCTCTGAGTATAACACCTTTATTTTTCCTCTTGGCCCCATGTCTATTACGTTAAGGGATGTTGGGGCCCTGGTAAATTTACCACCTTTGGGTGATACTGTTTTCCCAGGCATCTTAGTTTTTGGCGGCGCCCCTCAGTTCGGTAAAAATTATACCGATTCTTATTCAAACCTGCAGACACTGCACAATCATTCGAGTGCTGAGCCTACTCATGCTGAGCGAGTGGCCTTCCTTTTACTCTGGCTTTGTAAATATGTGTTGTGCGTGCCTAGTATAAAGCCCTCTCTAAGCTATCTACCTATAGCGCATGAACTGGCGCGTGGCAGGCCTTTGAATTTATGTTCTTTGTTTTTGGCTGCCCTTTATAGAGGTATGGCTTTTCTTCAGGCTCAATTGAAGAATGGTGCATCTCCTACTGGCAGTGGACCTCTTTGGTTCACTCAGCTGTGGTTGAGATCCTATTTTCCATCGCTTGGTGCTCCATCCATTTCTTGTCCTTCTGCTAGCTGTTACGGGCTAGCTATGGAGCTTGGTGCTCCATCCATTTCTTGTCCTTCTGCTAGCTGTTATGGGCTAGCTATGGAGCCTTTAACTCCTGTAAGTATGTCCAGAAGAGACATTTTTTCATTCTTTTATTCTTTAGATTCAATCTCTTCCTTCTTCCCTTTTCCTCCTTTTTTGACTCCGGACTACGTACATCCTCCTTCCACTCTAGATAGCGCGAGCACCTCTCTGCTCATTTGGATCCAGTTCTTAACTGGGATGGAGCTTTTCCACGATATCTTAACCGGAACCAATGCCAAAGTTGGGGTAGAAATTTATGCTCCCCAATTTTTTGCTCGACAGCTTGGTTTCGGCCAAACTTGGCCTGTTCCTCTTTGCTATTCGAAGAACTTAAACGACCGTTTTCATACCATTAATAAGATTGAAGCAGAGGCTATAAACGCTCGCAACCTCCACTTATCAAGCCATTTTTCATTAGCCCCTTTTAATCCTTGTCACGCTACTCACCCTCTTTTCGAACAACTTTGGCCATCGGTGAAGC